GTACTGGGGAAGCAGTGATGTGCGGACAGCTTCGCCTTGCCTCTGGACCGGCGGACACTCTCAGCTCTGGCATAGTACCCGTGGCACCTCTGGTGTCACTGGGAACTGCACCTCATCCACAGGTGCAAATACCTGAGCTGTCCTGCCAACCCTCGGCAAAGTTAACTGTCTGTGCTAGCCGCAACCCTGGTGCCGAAGCTGGTACCGAACCAAAGTCTTGTGTTTCGTCTGTTCGTCGTTGCTCGTTGGTTGTTCCCGTCGCTGTTCGTCTTCCTTCTGGTGATTCTCTGTCGTGCGAAGGACTTGTCGATTCTGGTGCCTCTGGCAACTTTATCGACGAGGACTTTGTTGCTCGACACTCTGTCCCCACCTGCTCCAAGGCTTCGCCCTTGGCAGTGGAAGGCGTGGATGGTAAGCCGCTGTCGTCTGGCCCCATCCTCCGCGAGACTGCTCCACTCGAGGTGATTCTCGGGGACGTCTCGCAACGCCTTCGGTTCGATGTGATCAGGTCTCCACATCAACCACTTATCCTTGGCTTTCCTTGGTTGCGCACCGCCGAGCCCAAGATTGTCTGGTCTCGCGGTCTTCTTTGTCTCCCTCCTTCTGTTGATTCCGACCCCTCTCCATGCACCTCTTCCCTTTCGTCTTGTAAAATTCCTTCCAATGTCACTCCCCTTCTTGATGATTCCACTCCTTTGATTGATCTAAGCTCCTCTCCTACGCTCCCACCTTCGTCTTCCCCTTCTTGTCTTGTTCCTCCCGAACCCCTTCGCTCTTCCCAAACCCCTTCTCCTGCTGTCAGTTCTCTTTCCCTCCTTGATGTACCTCCTCCTGTTGTTTGTTCTTCGGACATTGTTCAGAATAAAGTAACCGTCGAACATTATTCTGACCTTGTCCACGCCCCTCCTCTCAGCTCGGACGCTCCTCTCCGCGTCTGCAGCATTGATTACCGCTCGATGCGCGAGTCTCTGGATGCATGCAGGCATGGAACGCAACCCCTGACCATCTTTCAGGTCCATGTCCTGCCCACTGACGAGCCGAGCACTGCGACTGTCGAAGTGCCTGCGGAGTACAAGGACTTCCTGTCTGTTTTCTCTAAACAGGAAGCTGACTCCTTGCCTCCGCATCGCCCTTACGACTGCCCCATTGACTTGGAGCCGGGCAAGTCGCCAAAGTTCGGGCCTCTGTACTCACTGTCCGAGCCCGAACTTCACGCTCTGCGTGACTATCTCGACGAGAATCTTGCCAAGGGATTCGTTCGTCCTTCGTCGTCCCCAGCAGGCTCGCCAATCCTCTTCGTCAAGAAGAAGGACGGCTCACTTCGTCTTTGCGTTGACTACCGCGCACTGAACGGTATCACGGTAAAGAACCGTTACCCTTTACCGCTGATCGGCGAGCTGCTGGACCGACTTCGAGGCGCGAAGGTGTTCACTAAGCTGGACCTTCGTGGAGCCTACAATCTGCTGCGCATCCGCTCCGGGGACGAGTGGAAGACAGCTTTCCGTACTCGATATGGGCACTTCGAGTACTTGGTGATGCCCTTTGGGCTCACCAACGCGCCAGCGACGTTCCAGCACTTCATCAACGACGTCCTGCGCACCGAGTTGGACCAGTTCGCAATTGCGTATCTTGACGATATCTTGATCTACAGTGCTGACCCGTCGCAGCATGTAGAGCACGTCAAGCAGGTCCTCTCGAAGCTCCGAGCTGCAAAGCTGTATTGCAAGCTGGAGAAGTGCGAGTTCTCCAAAACCTCGGTCTCGTTCCTTGGTTTCATGGTCTCGCCCGAGGGCATCGGTATGGAGCGATCCAAGCTCTCTGCGATCTTGGATTGGCCCATACCGCGCAACATCTCGGATCTTCGATCCTTTGTCGGGTTTGCGAACTTCTATCGACGCTTCATCGATGGATACGCAAAGATCGCGGGGCCCATGACTCGGCTCTTCCGGAAGACGCATGGCTTCCAGTGGTCCCGCGAAGCCGATAAAGCATTCAGATCCTTGAAGGATGCCTTCGTTTCGGAGCCCGTTCTGGTGCATCCGGACCCATCCAAGCCGTTCGTCGTAGAGTCAGATGCGTCGGACTTTGCGCTTGGATGCGTGCTCTCCCAGCGGGGTGCTGATGATCGCCTTCATCCTTGCTCGTTCCATTCGCGGACACTCTCGAATGCTGAACGTAACTACAGCATATACGAGAAAGAGCTGTTGGCGATCAAGGAGGCTTTCGAGGCGTGGCGACACTACCTCGAAGGCGCCCAGCATCCCGTTGCCGTTCTGACCGACCACAAGAACTTGGAGTACCTGGCGACGGCTCGCATCCTAAACCAGCGCCATGCACGGTGGTCCCAGTTCTTGTCTCGGTTCGACATCCGCATCCAGTACCGTCCTGGTGCGAGGAACGGCAAGGCCGATGCCCTGTCTCGTCGCTCGGACTACATCCCTTCGTCGGCCTCCGTGTCGAGGGATCCGCCTCTGCTTCTCGATCCTGCCGCGGTGATACGCGTGCTCCGAAGCAGAGACGCCCGCTCTTCGGTTGCAAGTCGCAGTGACCCTGTGGACTTGCTGCAGCTCATAGCCGAAGAGCAGGCTCGGGATCCCGGTCTAGACAAATACCGTCGTGACCCGAAGTTCGTCTGGAATGGCCAGTACCTCACCTTCCAGAACAGGATTGTGGTCCCAGAGTCGTGCCGAGTTCCGGCGCTCAAGTCGTGCCATGACCCAGTCGCTGTGGGTCATCCAGGCATCCGACGGACTCTGGCTCTGGTATCGCGACAGTTTTGGTGGCAAACCTATCGGAAAGATGTCAAAGAGTACGTCTCGACGTGCGACACCTGTGCACGCTCGAAAGCTCCGCGACACAAGCCGTTTGGGTTCCTGTTGCCACTCCAGACAGCCGATCGACCCTGGGGGACACTGACCATGGACTTTATCACTGATCTGCCAAAGTCCAAGGGTCACACCTGCATCTTTGTGGTGGTATGCAGCCTCACAAAGATGGCACACTTTATGTCCTGGCGTTCACTGCCGTCGGCGGAGGAGACTGCGTCACTGTTCCTCGACAATGTCTTTCGTCTCCATGGCCTCCCCGACACAGTGGTTTCAGACCGAGGAAGTCAGTTCACCTCTCGGTTCTGGAAGGCACTCTGCACGCAGCTCGGGATCCAAACCAGTCTGTCCACGGCCTTCCATCCCCAGACCGATGGACAGACTGAGAGGGTCAACCAGGTCATCAACCAATACCTGCGCTGTTACACGTCGTATCAGCAAGATGACTGGGCCGAGCTGCTGCCGTTGGCCGAGTTCTCTTACAATAACCTCGAGAACTCGTCAACACATGCCTCGCCATTCTTGGCAACCTATGGGTTCCACCCAAGGTTCGAAGTCCCCGTTATCGCTGGCGGCCCTGATGTTCCCTCTGCCACGGAGAGGGTTGAACATCTCCAGCGGAACCTGGCACTGTTGAAGGAGAATCTTGAGAAGGCAAAGTCTGACTACAAGCACTTCTCAGATCTCCGGAGGTCCCAGGCTCCCGACTTGCGTCCGGGCGATCAAGTCTGGGTGCTGACTCGTAACATCAGCACCACTCGCCCAAGCAAGAAGCTGGATTACCAGAGGATTGGACCATTCACCATCCTCGAGGCCGTCGGGACATTGGCTTTCCGCCTGGACTTGCCAAAGGACATAAAGGTGCACCCGGTGTTCCATGTGTCTCTTCTTGAGCCCTACAAGAAGAACTCGCTTCCGGGTCGGGTGCAAGCGCCGCCCCCTGCGGTGGTCATCGATGGGAACTTGGAGTGGGAGGTCGAAGAGATCTTAGACTCCAAGTTCGTGCGCGGAAAGCTGCACTATCTCATCGATTGGAAAGGCTACCCGGTCACCGATCGAAGTTGGGAGCCCGCCGACATTGTCTTTGCCCCAACGGTGGCCGCGGAGTACCACCGACGCTACCCAGACAAGCCTGGCCCCAGGAGAACTCAAGATGGAACACGCCGTAGTTTAAGGAGGAGATAGTGTGATGACCAGCATCACAACGGACCAATGAGATTGTCCCGCATGCTCTCTCCCTCCGCACCAATCATGAGTCCCCACGTGTTTGTTTGCCCCCATGCATGAGCACGCGCCGTTGCCACCCGCGTCTACTGGTTTCCTGCCTCCCCCACCGCTCGGCACATGTCCCCGGGCTGTGCCAAGCCTCTCTCGCTTGCACACCAGCCACTCTCGCACCCCCTTCTCGCTTCTCTGTGATGCTCCACCCTTCTCGCCCACTTTTGCCCCTCGACCTTCTCCCGGTCTATAAATAGCCCTGCATGTCTGAGCCTATGTTGAACACCAGTTCGAACAAAACTTGTTCTTTGGTGTTCGGGGCTAAAAGCTAATAAAGCTCATACCAAGCACTTGGTCTTCGTCCTTGCGCTTGTTCACTCCTCACAGGGCACCAGGAGGAGCACGCTTGCGATTGTTCTGGATGTAGGGGTGATGGATGCCGCTCTTGAGGTTCTCTGGGACGGGCTCGATTGAAGGGTTGTAGTCGATACCGAGGGCATCGAGGGAGTAGGAAACCACAGTCGTGTGGATGATGTCCTTGATGGCAACACGGATGGAGCTGTTGCCGACACGGACGTGATAGAATCCGTTCGAGGAGAACACGTTCCAGGTTCTCGAGTCACGGATCATCGTACCAAAGGTGACGACTCCTTGATGTCTGAAGATGACATCAAAGAAGCGCCAGCCTCCGTTGTGTCTGATCTCTTGATCGGGGTGGATATCCAACCTGACCATGATCACAGAGCTGAAGGTGTTGGGGGAATCAGAGTCACGATCAACAAAACTATAGGCAGAAGAAATGGTGCCAGTGAAGCCACTGTAAGGACCGGATGTGATTAAGACTCTTGCCATGCTGTAGCGAAAAGGGCAGCGGAAATGAAGGGCAAACCGATCACAAGAAGGGCAACCAAGAGAATGAGAGACATGTAGATGAGGGCGTAGGCAAGTTTGGCAAGCAGATAGGCGCCGGATACAAGAATGGCAAAGTCAAGGAGGGGTGTCAGAAGACGGACGTGGAGCGGTTGCTGGTGGTAGCGCTGGTAGTAGCGATGAAGGTGCTGAATGGTGGAAGAGTGCTCAATGGAGTGCGTTGGTCGATGGTGGTGTGGTGCTGCTGGAGGCCGGTGGATGCGGCTTTTATGTGGGGCTCCCTGTCCGAGTCCGGGAGGTCGCGCTGGCCATGCGCGGCGATCGGTGCGGCTGGCCTTCCCCCTTCGCGGGCGGAGATTAGCGCGGTCAGACAGCCCCGCCCATGTCCCCCGTCTTGACGGGGCTCAAGACGTACTTCAGGGATGACTTTGCCAGAGCTTCGATCTGGTATTCTAGTATGAGCGGGCAGCTGTTCTGTATCATCACGCGGACCCGCGGAGATAAGTGCACCGCCTTGGAGAACCCCACCAGAAACTTGAGGAAGAAAGTCCCTTGGATAATGTCCGTCTCCGCCCCGGTTCCGCCCATCGCCGTGTGGTTCAGCACATCGACATGGACCTCATGCTCGATCACGCTCTCGCGGCTGCTGAAGATCAGCTGCTTCTTGAACAGGGTGATGTCAATAACCTCCGTCCCCATGGAGGCAATGTCCCGGCAGATCTTTTGAAAGTCCCCACTGTGGATCTCGGGCGGAGCATGCTCAAACTCGCGGATGTCGCAGACAGCGTACTCTGGCAGCTGCAGCATCGGGATCATAAACTTGTTGACCGCCTTCCGCTCCGAGTTTTTGATTAGCAAGCCGAGCTTGGAGGTGTTGGACTTGTCCACAAAGAACGTCAGGGTGTCATTGGCCACGATCGTGCGGAAGATCTTGTGGAGATGGATCATGTCCAGGCCCACGACCACTTTGTGTGGGACGTGGTAGATCTCAAAGGCGTCCCTGTCGATCCCCAGATGGATCAGGGCGTACTTGCGGGTATCCACGGAAGCCAGCCGGATCCCCTCGGGTGTGAAAATCAGGTTGGCCTCTGTGATGACTACCTTCAGGGCCTCCACTATGTTCTTGAACACATTGGACTTGACCGTGGACACCTCCAGGAGGCGGTCATAGTCCAGCGTGTGATATGTCATTCGGTGCTGCTGCGGTTGGTCGTCACAGTCCATCATCATGTCGGCGTGCTTGTGTCTGGGGTTGTCTCAGGACGCCTGCTGATTATACTAGTATGGTTTTCTTTACTGTGAATTTTTCACAGGCTGAGGCTCAGTGCGAAAATGTCGATGTGGTGGTCGTGACCACCGTGGTGGCGAACGGAATTGGACTTCCCACCGGGCTCGCAGCTGCTGTGGGCGGAGACGGCGCTGGCTCCGGGGGAATCGGAGCGACATAGACCACAGGACCGGTGGAGGGCCCTGTCGTCGTGGTTGCGGTTGTTGTGGGACCAGGGGGTCTCCACCCGAGCATGAGACTCGCCAGGGTCTCGATGATGCCGTTGTAGGGCGAGTTGCGCATGAACGGCAGGGTCTCTGAGACAATGAGCAGAGTCCCACATATAGTGTTCGTAATCGCAAGGATAGTGGCCGGATCCATGTTCGCTAGCCTGCCTGTGAGCGATCGAAAAAAATCACTCTAAGCAATCCGTACCAGAATATCATTGACGACGACTCCCCGACATGCCATCCGCACCCATAGCACTCGACGAATCGCTCATCGACACCATCTGGTCTCAATGCATCGACATTGACAGCGACAGCTTCAGTTTCATCACCGAACCAGCACCACCATCACCTTCCAAGTGCGATTGCGACTGCGAACGCAACGGCAACACGATCGACAACAACGGATTCGAGGCATGTGCGCTGTGTGGCATCTGCTTCAACCGCCCTCTCCTTGGCGATTCCAGTGCATTGATGGCTATGGAAACCATCCCTGCCACATCGTACATCCGAAACGGCGACGGCATGTCCAAGAGAAAGCGCTACCATCTCTGGGCCACCTTTTCCAGCTCGGACCGTCTTCGCTCCAAGTACTTGCGCGAGATTCGTTCCCTCGGTGACAGCTTCAAGATCCACAACCACATCACCGAGTCGGCCGCCGCCATCTACGTCGACACCATGGCAAAGCTCAAACCGGGCCCATCCATCAAATCCAATCGCGACCATGTCCTCTATCGCGGCGACACCCGTATCGGTATTCAAATCGCCTGCTTCTACTTTGCCTTTGAACGGGCCAACTCACCCATCGGTCAGCGCGAGCTTGTCAAGCAATTCCATGTCCCGTTGAGATTCCTCACCAAGGGCTGCAGCATCCTCCTGGATATCCACGGCCATCCTTCAGTCGCACCCATGTCCGCTGCCGATCACGCTCAGATGTACTGCAACAAACTCGGCATCTTTGGAGACCAGCAGCGTACGATTGTACACAGGGTCGAATCTCTTGTTGCCACCGGCTCAATGGAGCAGTTCTCCCCGGTCTCCACTGCCGCTGGGTGCATTGCACTCCACTTGCCCGATCTCACCCCTGCCATACTGAGTGTCGTCGGGTTGACAAAGATTACTGTCACCAAAGTGGTCAAGTATATTGAATCCAATACATCTGGTGTGCCCAACTGAGCTCTTCCTCTCACTGCGTCTTTTGCTTCTTGGCCTTGGTCAGCTTGATCTTCTCGAGTGTGGTGCTCTCGCGCGATGCCCAGAGGCTCTCGACGAGGGCTTCGACAGTGTCCTTGGGCATGGTGCGGCACAGGTGGTCAATGATATTCTCCTTCTTGACCGGTGCCATGCGGGTGCTCGACTGGAGCTTGATGCTGCCATTGGGCAAGTCGATCGCATCCACGCCGTTATCTCGCATGAACTTTTGGATACCCGGTTCCAGCTCCTTGATGCGTGCCTGCAGGATCTTGACCTGGCCGCGCACATCCACCACCTGCCCGGTCAGGCTGGCATACTCCTCGATCTCCCGGCGAAATCGGGTGACCTCCATCTCGAGGCGGGGATCGTTGTTGCTGCTGCGGACGACGGACCCCGTCTCGAGGACAGGGTCGGGGTCAACATCGTCGCTAACCTCCGTCTCCGGTCGGGATCGCGGAGTGGAGTTTGGACTCTGGGGGGGTGAAAACTGCGCAGGCTCATCGTGGTCGGCGTGGGAGGACATGGTCGTTCTGGTCGGGATGGGGTTTAAAAGCCGGGTGTCGGTCTGCCGTTGGGAGGACCTATACCTCACATGTGTGATTTTTCCTTTAGTACAATTTCTGCACCAATGCCAGATATGTCGTCCTTTGACCACGCCCTCCTCGTTCCCAGCTCCAAGCGCTTCACGCTCTTCCCGATCCAGTACAATGACATCTGGACCATGTACAAGAAAGCCGAGGCCTCCTTCTGGACCGTCGAGGAAGTCGATCTCGCCAGAGACCCGCCCCACTGGCAGCACAAGCTCACCGACAACGATCGCTTCTTCATCAAGCACATCCTCGCCTTCTTTGCCGGCTCGGACGGTATCGTCAACGAGAACCTGTGCGGCCGCTTCTATGCCGAGACCCAGCTCCCCGAGGTCCGCGCCTTCTACGGGTTCCAGATCATGATGGAGAACATCCACTCGGAGATGTACGCCCAGCTGATCAACACCTACATCCTGGACACGGAGGAGCGCACTCGCCTATTTGGTGCTATCGAGACCATCCCCTGCATCCAGAAGAAGGCCAACTGGGCCATCAAGTGGATCGAGGACCAAGACGCCCCCTTTGCCCAGCGCCTCCTCGCCTTTGCCGCTGTCGAGGGCATCTTCTTCTCGGGTGCCTTTGCCTCCATCTTCTGGCTCAAGAAACGCGGCCTCATGCCCGGCCTGACCTTCTCCAACGAGCTGATCTCGCGCGACGAAGGTCTCCACACTGACTTTGCCTGCTTGATCTACTCCAAGCTCACCGAGAAGCCCCCGGCCGAGACCGTCACGGCCATCATCTTGGACGCCGTCGCCATCGAACAGGAATTCATGACCGAGTCTCTCCCATGTGCCCTCATCGGTATGAACGCCACTCTCATGAAGCAGTACATTGAGTTTGTCGCCGACCGCCTCCTCGTCGCTCTCGGCTACCCCAAGCTCTACAACGCTCTCAACCCCTTTGACTTTATGGAGCTCATCTCTCTCCAGGGCAAGACTAACTTTTTCGAAAAGCGCGTGGGCGAGTACAGAAAGGCCGGTGTATTGGGTGGTGTGCCTCAGGTCTTTGACCTCGAAGCTGATTTCTGAGTTTCAGTTCAGAGATCCACAAACAGGACGTTTCGCATGGCATCATGAATAAAACGTCCGCTAAATGTACCCACCACCGTCGCCGTCTCCGGGAGTCGCATGGGTGTGCCCATTTCGTTGTAGACCTCCAGCATGCGGTCTACAATCTCAAACAGGCCGACGTTACTGCCACGGTCCAAAAGCACATCGTCCTTGCACACCCGCTGCACATGGACTCTGCGATACAGCTGCAGAACGAGCCGAAGAAAGTGCTGGATATAGAGATTGGCTTTTTTTTGACTGAAGCCAACATCCGGGAAGAGTCGCATGAACTCTTCGCCGTTCCCATTGCACCAGGCCCGGTAGTAGGCGTGCAGCAGGTTCTTCTCGTTCCCCTTGAGTTCACCGGCTCGCTTGTACCAAGGCAGATCGTGGTTGTAGACTCGTCCATCTTGGGCAGTGTAAATGACTCCGCGGATATTGGCAGAGAGCACAATCGGCGGATACTCAGTCCCTGTGGGTGGCTGCATCGATACGCGTGAGTAAAGGACTGGTTCACCCGTGCTGGCATCGGCACAGCTCAGGAAGACAATTCGTGGGTTCGGATAGAAGATCACGTTGCGGTTCTCCGGGTGCTCGAGACTAAAGTGGTAGGTGCGGCTCGGGTCAAGGCTATGAATGAAATCCTGGTAAGTCAGCTTACGCTCCTTCAGCGTATCCACAAAGAGCGTATAGAAGCTCTTGAAACTACCCCAGCGAGCGTCTCGGGCATTGATGCATGTGTTGGAACTCATGATCCACTTGCCGCCGATGTGACCCAAGCGGATCAGCGTGCCGTCGGAAGCAGCATGGGCAGACACGATGTTACCGAGCCCGTCACCCTCCTGTGGTATGTCGTTGATCTCCTTGGGATTGCATGGATAGAGGATCTTGTCACCCTTGGCGCTTTGGATGTACGCCTGGAAGTTGTCTCGTCCGTTGCACTTGCTGGTCAGCACGAGGCCGGGGTAGTCGGTGTGCGTGCTCTCCGTGTATCTGGGCTCAACTTCACACCCCGCATTGCGGATGGCGTCCTGTGGGATCATGGTTTTGGGGATCTGATCAATCATGTACATTCTTGGGACCAGACGCAGAATGTGATGCTCTACAAGAGAGAGCTGACTTTTATTCACCCTCCTGGGGCGCATTCACGACCAGCTTACACGAAATGCGGTTGGGACATGCATACACATTCGCCAGCAACACATGCGAATTGCACACCCGCACCCCGGCATCCACCAGAGGCACGATGTGCGACCACATTCGCAAGCGGATCACCCGCTCCAGGACGGTCTCGCCCATTTCCTGGAATCCAATGATCCTGGGGATGTGCAGCACCCGACGCAGCAGGGTGTACACACAGATCCCAGTGAACTCGCTGATGTTGAAGTATGCCCGGAACAAGATGTCGTCGGGAAGATCGCGATCGTCGAGCATGTCCAGAATCACATTGGTTCCAGGCTCGAATCCAAACACCACAAATCGGCGCAGTGCATCGACTTGCTCCTTGGTGCTGTAGCAGTGGTGGTGCAGAACGAATGCCACGGTTGCGTTGCTGTGTCCCGAGCTGCAGAGGAGGTCGAACCACAGATCCGACCCGTACGATTCCGGATTCATCTGCTCCAGCATGAATCGCAAGAGCTCGAGTTTCTGGTATCTCGCAGTGAGCACCAGGGCGTCCGCGTCGATCTGCGGCGATCGACAGACGCAGTAGTAGATCAAGGGCTGCGGGTCGGAGTTTGGATGTGACTTGAGGAGCCGCTTCAGGAGACGAGTCGTCTCGTTCGGGAAGAATCGGAGAAGCAGGTCGTGGATCTCGGGAGAGAGGCTGATAATGTGGCCGAGGAGCACACGAGGGTCGTCCAGTTGATTGTGGCCGAGTGCCCATTCGACAACGACAGCACTGCTGCGCTTGGATCCAATGATGGCAGCTTGCTGGACGATATCCTGCCTGGGGCGAGGCCACTGGTGTTGGAAGAAGAGATCCAGCACGATCGTGCTCTCGGCATAGATGGCTTCGTTGATGAGATCCCAGTCAAAGTAGTGCATGCTGTCCACCAGATCGAGTGTCACTTGCCCGAGGAAGGCTTGAATGAATTCGTGGCGACCCGTCTGTATCGCTCGTTCGACTGCGGTCTTGGCAAACAACGCCAGTGATTCCTCGCCCCTGCGGGCACAGTTGGCTGTCATCACAGGGACGATACGTGCCAAGACATCGTGGTTCTGGATGCACATGATGCATCGGGCAGCAATATCTCCGTGCGGCGACACTCCACACGCGAGCAGCATTTCCAGAATTCGGAAACCGGGATCGTTAGTGGATGTGGGGCTACGCCGGAGCAGTTCACAGACCATTGCTTCCTTGTGCATCATCGAGCTGAAGCGCGTGTAGTGTCGAAGGACGCTGTCGTTCCGCCACAGAACCGGGATTGGTCGCATGATCACTTGGATCAGCGAGAGGCTGCGGGTGTTGATGCAGCACTGGTAGATCGTATCCTCCCATGCAGGTTGATGAAATGCGAGGAATCGGCGGCAGGTGCGTGTCAGTGCCAAGCACGATCGAATGTCGAGGAACGAGGCGATCTCACCCCAGACCTCAAGTGGCAACTCCATCGCTGGTGCGTCATGCTGTACATGTGTATCGAAGGCCTTACTGCGTTTTTTTGTCGCCCGATGGTAGCCACACACCCTCCATTGCAAGAGATGCCCGTTCCAGTGTACCTATTTGGATACTTGGCCGTGATCATCATCCTCGGATACTACATGTTTGTCGATCCATCTCCGTCGCTCGAGCAGGCCGATACCGGAAAGAACATGTTTGGCGCTAATGCCGCAGAAGCCTGCAAGACCATCTCATCTACCGCTGACAATATTACGGCCGCTGCCGGAGGCCTCGCAAATGTCGTCAAGGCATTCGACCCCTTGAGTATGTTTGACAGCGGAAGCAATCAAGTCAGCAACCAGACCCGCAATATCATCGGCACCACCATGTCGGACTCGGACGTCAAGAACATCGTCAACGCTTGCTCCAACAACATGGCCGCTTACCAGACAAACGTCATCGACAACTCACAGTGTGAGTACTGCAAGACCCACGACTGCAGCATGGCCAATATCAGCCAGACCAATGTGAATGACGCCGTTCAGCAGTGCACCATGACATCGATGGTCCAGACACTCATGGCCCAGACCAACAGCGTGGATAGCCAGGCTGTGGCATCCGCCATCCAGAAGGCTCAGGGCCTGCTCTCTGGCAGCAACTCCAGCTCCAACAACAACTGCAACTTGGTCAGCACCAACATGGACACGAGCACATACCTGAACCTGCAGAACTCGTGTGCTTCACAGCTTTCCGCTATCCAAAAGAACCAGTTCGCACCCTGTGCCACAGCAATCGGCATCATTCAGTCCAACTCCAACAAATCATACCAGCAGTGCATGCTCGACAACAAAGCCATCACTCAAATCGCACAGGGCAATACAACCAAGACATCGAGTCAGTTCTCGTCTGACCAGACGACTTCCGGTCTCGACTCGACAGCGATCATTGCCCTGGTTGCTGCATGCCTCTGCTGTTGCTGCTGCATCTCGTCGATTGCAGCCATCGGGTACTATGCTTACCAAAGCATCGATTCTGGGAGCGGCAGCAGCGGACCGGGTGGTATGCCATCACCAGCATCCATCGTGAGCAAGCTCAAGAAGTAGCCGCAGGTGGTGGGTATGCCGAGTTGATGGAGGTCGTGCTCGGTGCAAAGAGCATATTGACGATCGAGCGATTGTCGCTGTTCAAAATGACATCACACGGGTCGTTCGCTGCTTCGTAGCCTGTGCGGTTCCAGAGCTTGTAGTTGGTCGAGTTGGGTCCGCAGGTGTAAATGTCGAGATTCAGCGTCTGCTGGGAAGCCAGTGTGGTCGGGGTGGGTACGTTTTGGATCATGTTAGCACACTCATCCATCGGACTGACACTACCATCACCTGTGGCTGCACCTGGATTCACTGGGAAATAATAGCAGCCATTGCCGTCAGTGTTGTACATGCACTCGGCGTTGTTCTGGTTGATGCGTGCAACGGTATACATCTTGATGGTCGGGACGTAGACGCAGGACCATGGTGTTGTCGAGTGGGTCTTGTTGTACTGGTAGAGTCCAAATCCTCCGCCCGCAGTCAGGAGCGATGAGCAGACGCAGCACAGCGCTATAACGGCCACGATGATCCAGATTTGACTTGACATTGGTCTGCTGCGAAGGGTGTGTCAGAAAAAACGCTGTAAGGGTTTCATCCTCGGCATATGCAATAGCACCCAATGGACTCGCCGCGTAGCATCGCCCTGCAGACCCTCCAGGCAAAGACGCCCGACCATGCCGAGGTCTTGGAAGAGAGCATCTATCGCTATGCCACCACAACCTACAAGGGCGTGTGCAGCTGGATCAACCCGCAGTTCCGAGACGCATACAAGTCCCGCGCCATCATGATGCTGTCGAACCTGGAGGCCATCGTCGGCTTGCTCGACTCGGGTGTCATTCAAGATCCTTCCCGGCTGGATGATCTGACACACCAGAACCTTCGTCCAGACGCTTGGCTGGCACAAGACCAGGGGGTCACCGGCACGACGGCGGCAGCAGCGGCAAACGGCAAGTCCGGAGGAGCCGACGGACAGATGAAATGCACCGACTGTGCTCGCATGGGCAGAGACTCATACAACACCGAGTTCATCCTGGCCCAGCATCGCTCTTCGGACGAGGCCAGCACCATATACGCCCACTGTCTGACCTGTGACAAGCGGTGGAAGATTAATAATTAATATAGCTATTTTATAGAAATCGGTGTAACGTGCTCAGGAGCGGCGAGTGCGGCGTGCAAGGGTGTCCGGTTGATATCGGTGTCGGGTGGTGGGTTGCGAGCAGACGCTTCCCCTCGCATCGCACTCCATCATGGCCAAACGCAAGTCACCGCCCGTAACATTCGCCCAGATCGCCAAGAAGAGCTCACTCGGCAATGCTCAAGAGAACATCACATCAGCGCACCCCAGACCACCTGGCCCACAGCCACAGAGGAGCTTCATCGTGGCCTTGGTCAATGCTGCGAATACTGGATGTGTCTCTTCCATGGCAAAATTAGCGTTACCACTACGCTAAGGGAGATGGCGTCGAAAAGAACGACGTCATCGCATCCAAGTGGTTCATCCACGCTTCCAAGCATGGTCATCTACCCTCAGCAGTATGCACTGGGAGTTACGCTACCAGAATGGCATTGGTCTCCCAATTCGACCATGTGAGAGCCGCCAGGCTACTGACTGGGTGTCTGGAGAAGCTGCCGAATGGATCAACCGCACCGATCGAGCAATATCTCACCAACGATATCCTCGACCAGCAAGATCTTGTGCTGGCTGCGAAAGCGTACTCTATACTGGCCGCGAGGAACAACGCCGAGGCACAGTTTCGTCTTGGCCGATGCTATCGCGATGGCATCGGAGTCCCCAAGAATCACCAAGAAGCATTCTGCAACTTCCGAAAGGCTGCTGAGGCGGAGAACCTCACCGGCTGCTTCGAGGTTGGGATGTGTTACCTCAATGGCATATATGTCGACAAGGACTCGGCCAGATGTCTCAAATGGCTTGTTCTCGCAGCCGATGGTGGTCTGGCCTGTGCTCAGAATGTCATTGGCACACTCTACTTCGATGGCATCGGCATCACCAGAGACAGCCAAGTCGCATTTTCATGGTTCAAGAAAGCCGCCGACCAAGGACATGTCAGTGCACAGTACAACATCGCCTGTGCATACTACGAGGGTGATGGTGTAGAGAAGGACTACCACAAAGCATTCGAGTTCTTCTCCAAGGCAGCGAGTCAGTCGTTTGCCGAGGGTATCTCGGGACTCGCAACATGCTACCATTTTGGCCGTGGTACCAGTCGCTCCATTGCCAAGGCGTTCGAATTGCACGTTCAAGCCGCCACACTTGGGTCAAAGTTCTCTTTCGAGGAGATCAGCCTCAAATACTTCAAAGACTTTGACGACAACCAAGTCAACGCCATCATCAACAACACCACAAAGGAACTCCCCTCGGCGATGCGACACTTGGCTCGCCGCTATTCCGATGGTGTGGGTTTTGCCAGAAACCCTGAGGTGGCCAAGGAATTGTACGCCAGAGGTGCTGAGCTCGCCTTGCGCCAGATGGAATGAGCGCCGTGGTGTTTGCTGCAAACTTTTTTTATTGACTTATCTGTAAGACAATACATTGCTCAGCATGGCGTTTTCTGACTATACCGACTACATCTCGTCCAACCCGTACATCTTCTGGGGCATCATCATCGTTGTCGTCGTGGGTGTGAGCTATGTGGCGGCGAGAAAGTTCTGCCCTTGGTTCAGCGGCGCCTCCACCTCTACCGGAAAGGTTTCGGCGTTGCCCCGCCCTCAGAAGCAACCGGTCTCTGCGGCCGCTGATGCCACCCCCGTCGCCACGGTCATTGCTCAGCAAGCACCTCCCGCTCAGACACAGCCGGTCGTCGCCCAGCAGCCCAGCACCGCACCCCCGGTCGGCATTGCTCCTGATGGAAGCTCGTATGTCGCTGCTTTCCCGGCTACTCAGGCCAGCCAGTAAGCGTATGTCTGGTCGATAATTGAAATACATTGTTCTTGAATTCTCCATTGATCATCTGTGAGTCTACGAGGCTCAGAGACATCCATTGTCCCTGAGCATTTGACCCAAATGAGTGGTCTGGAGTCACGTGTGTGGTGAGAAGGGTGAAAGGTGGTGGTAGCGCCATGTCAGGCAAGGAGCGAGTTTAGTCCACTCGATAGCGCGTGCCACCGACACGGTGGGTCCGGAGTTCAATTCCTCGTACGTGCTCTTCCTGAAAACAAAACACACACATACCACTGAACCTTATGTCATTCAAACGACTTGGTGGCCTTCCTACTGGCAACCCAGGTTCGATCCCCGCGATTGGAAATAGGCGGTTTTGCTTCGTGGTGGTTCGTATTTTGGCGCGCCACCCACTCCGAAAGTTCATTTTTGCTCGCGTTTCTGCCTGCGACCAGGCCAGACCAGGCTGGCTTGCCCACACACACCTTCTCCCTCGGCACTTCCGAGCCCGAGCTTCAGGCCATCCGTGCCGTCATCGTCCAGTCTGCTGAGAACGCCCGTTCTCTCTAGGACTTCTCCAAGTTCCTCCATGAGCAGGATGATGCCCTCAACCCTTCCAGGCGCATCACCGATCTTAGCTCGTCGTGAGGGGTCGTCAGCGTTCATGACACCTCCGCAGCTTCGTGGCCCAGCTCTCTCCTTCTCCTGCTCCCGCTCCGATCCGTCGTGCAGGTCGCTTCTACTCCGGTGTCCAACCCCCTCGCTTCCAGTCTGAAAAGGATATGGTGTTCGACGACTTATCATACCTCGATGCAAATAATACACTGCAGTCGTGTATCGAACAGCTGGAGAGGAGCCTGGTATCACCAGCCCGGCGTGTATGGACATGGCTGAGCCCGGTTGGCGACATCCACCCCGGTGGCGCATTTTCTGGCAATATAAGAGAGGATTGCCTCCTTTCTCTTCGTCCAGCGGGTATCCCTCCGTTTTCGCCTCCTTCAGTCCTCGTCCCGTCTCCCGTTGTCAACCATGGCCGACAAACCCTGGTATATCCCTGAAGAAGCCATCACCGACCGGTCAGTCAATCCTATCGCAGCCGGTGGCTTTGGCGAGGTGTTCAAGGCCTCGTACTATGGCGCCCCTGTCGCCATCAAGCAGCTCTATAGGGGCTACAACCAGAACGAACTCGCCGACTTTGGCCGTGAGATTGGCATCTGGCACAGACTCAGTCACCCCCATATCCTTCCACTCCTCGGCGCCTGCGACACAGCCACTAAACCCTTCATGGTCTCGCCGTTCATGCCCAACGGCACCCTCCGCAACCACTTTGCCACCGCACCCACCCCTCGTCCTCTGGGTGAAAAGATCCGCCTTCTCTATGAGGTTGCCTCGGGCATGGCCTATCTCCACGGCAACAACATTGTCCACGGCGACCTCAAGTCCCTCAATGTGCTGCTGGATGGCTCATCCAATGCTGTGGTGACCGACTTTGGAATGTCCCGCACCAAGCACACCTCGGCCTCGGCCAATCGAACCCGCCGCGACCAGCCGACAGGCGGCACTCTCGAGTATATTGCACCGGAAATGCTCGATGACGAGCGTCCTACCGGCTCATCCAAGGCTACCGATGTGTATGCATTCGGCGTCACCCTCTACGAGGTCTTCAACGACTGCAAGCCCATCTGGGTCACCATCGATGGACAGCCGATGAGGGAGAGTGTCGTCGAGCGCCTTGTCCTCCGAGGAGTTCGCCCCAAGCAGTTTGACGGCATTCCCGACGACATCCGTGCCCTCATCGAGCGCTGCTGGCACCAAGACCCCTCCCAGCGACCCAAGTTCCCCGAGATCCTCGCCATCCTCCGCCAGTCCACAGAGCTCTATCCCGCTCAAGACGGAGAGTATAGGCCCACTATCATCGCCCCTCGGAGCTCCGTTTCATTCGAGTCGTCTCAAGACTGTTCATCTCCCCGAGCTTTATTTTCCGGGCCATCGTCTTCACGAACTCCTCCAATTGCATCATTATTGGCATCTGAGCCAGTCCCCGTCAAAAACCCGGCAGATGTGCAACACCTGCTCAATTTCCATACCACGATCGATTTTGACTCGGACGAGGATGCGGACGATGTTTTTGACCTCTGGTTCGCGATCGTTGATGGTAACGACAGTACTGGTTATCAGCGTGCCTTTGCTAGCGTTTATGCAAAGTCCAAATATCAACTCCAACTCGCGCTGATAAGCTCGGCCATCGCAACATCACAGTCTCCCCTGACCATCCGAATGATTGCCGATCTCTTTGGAATCGACATCCGAGTCGTCCGTCGATGCATCAAGGAGCTTGGACCCGTCCTCGATCCTGGCAAACTGAGCCACAACAAGGAGGGTAGCTCATTGGCTAAGGCCCAGAAGCACAAGTCGATCGTCACCTACCTGCTCGGAAAGGAATCTGCTGACGAGCCGTTCCATGTGACCCCCAAGTTTCATATGGCATTCGCCTCACAGTGCCTGCTGTCGATCCTCTCGCACGAACCGGTGGTCAACATTTGCGAGATCTACGACTTTCACGACATGATCCCAAACTTCAACGACCTAGTCAGAGCCAAGATACCTGACTCGCTCCGATACAGCGTCGTCCATTGGATCACACACTATGTCTGGTGTATGACCGACACCACCCTCGATCGATATACATGGAAACAATACCGTCCATCCGGTCTAGTGGATACACTGTCCAGATTCCTCTCAAGCCATGTGTTCTTCTGGCTCGAATGCGGTTCCCTCATCGGCGTGATCCCTGGTCTGACCAATCAGGTTGGTATGCTCGAGAACATGGTCTTGAACACACCTGGGCAAACATTCGACCAATCGACCCAGGAGCTGGTCAAGGATATCCACAAGTTTGTGCTGGAGTTTGCCGATCCCATCAGCAAGAGTGCACCTCAGGTCTACAACTCGGGGTATGCCTTCACACCGAAGGAGACCGCGATCTACAAGACATATGCCTCTCGACTCGAGGACAAGATCCCGTTCTTGGTTACGGTTGGTGTCAAGAAGGAATGGGATACTCCGGTCGAGGAAATTCGGATCGGTTGCCGTCATGACTACATTCACCAGATGGGACCTGGTTTGCCACTTGGACCAGTGACGGTGCCATCAAGATGTGGGATGCCACGACTGGCCAACTGAAGCACACCCTCAAGGGACACACAAGAGATGTTAACTCCGTGGCGATCTCACCTGATGGCAAGACCATCGTAGTTGTCGAAACTAACTTGACAATCAAGCATTTGGATGCCAGCACCGGGGAGATCACGAGAACCTTCACCGATCACATGGGGAAGGTCTATTCTTCGGCAATCTCACCTGATGGCAAGTTTGTGGCAATTGTGGAGAATGGGGACTACAACAGAATCAAGACGTGGGATACTGTCTCGTGCAGCTTGAAGCACACCCTCGAGGGACACACAAATACTGTGTACTCCGTGGCGATCTCACCCGATGGAAAATCGATCGTCTCTGGCTCTGGCGACAAGACCATCAAGGTGTGGGATGCCACGACTGGCCAGGTGAAGCACACCCTCGAGGGACACACAAACTGGGTGATCTCCGTGGCCATCTCACCCGATGGCAAGTGGATTGTCTCTGGCTCTATGGACAAGACCGTCAAGGTGTGGGATGCCACGACTGGCCAGGTGAAGCACACCCTCGAGGGACACACAGACACGGTGGTCTCCGTGGCGATCTCGCCCGATGGCAAGTGGATTGTCTCTGGCTCTATGGACAAGACCGTCAAGGTGTGGGATGCCACGACTGGCCAGGTGAAGCACACCCTCGAGGGACACACACACTATGTGACCTCCGTGGCGATCTCACCCGATGGCAACTCAATCAGTTCGCGGAACTGGAACCCAGGTTGGAAAGAACCAACCACCCGCGAAGAATTCGTCTGGGTCCGCCAAGGCAGCCAATGGGTTCGCTCTTTCGATCAAACACCCAACTTTACCCCAACAACCAACCGTCTCGCAACGCTCACCTCCCCCGAGTGGATCCAAATCGACAACATCCAGTGGATCCGCCACGGAATTCACACCATCAAGTTGCCGCTCTACCTTGGTCCTCCCAGCGACCCAGTTGTCAGCCACATCCTGGTAAGTCCAACCACTCACTCATCCCAAACCAACCAGCACCAAACTAACACTCCCGCAGCCTATCTACTCCAACAACCCCGAGGTCCTGATTGCATTCGCCAGCTATCTCAGCAACTCACCTGATCCCGAACGCCAAGCCCGTGGAGCAAACATCCTTTCGAGTCCCGAAGTGATCGCCTTCCACGAAGAGCAAGCCAAATTGGCCGAAGAGAGAAGGGCTGTAGAAGCCAGACGAGCTGAAGAAGCCCTCAAGAGAGCAGAGGAAGAAGCCCTCAAGAGAGCCGAGGCCAGAAAGGCAGAGGAAGAGGCCAGAAAGGCAGAGGAAGAGGCCAAACGATGTGTATTGCAGTAAATTGCATGCGAAATATCGAATACAGTGTCCGTATGCCGTGTGAATTTGGGCATAGGTCCGCCTCTGCCGCCGCCAAATTTGCGTTCAAACCCGACCACAATGGTCGTTGAAGCGAAGACCAATGAACCAGTCTCGCGTGTGGACAGAGCCACGGTGGTTCCAGACAGAGCTGGAGGTCTCAACTGGCGAACCAGTTGGTGATGGGCGGCGGCAGAGGGCTTATCAAATCAAATCAAATCAAATCAACAGAGTCATGTTCCAGGAGTGGTTCCCATTTGAGTCGGGAGAGGATCGGGCTTGGTGGTCTTGGTGTCGCGAGCGAGGCTCGAGTGGATCGATAGAGACAGGAATGGTCTCGGATGTGCCATGGATGGGCAGGAATGTCTTGAGGCGTCGATAGTGACGTGCGACGCGTAGTAATCGCGGAATGCGATGGATAGGATGGTTTGTGCCGGAAGATAGCAGGCAATATAGGTAATATAGGCAATGTAGGTAATGATAGTATAGGCCGTAGAAGAGGCAGTATGAAGTAGGCAGTGGGCAATGGGCCAGAGGACGAAGGCCAGGAGGAGCATTATTGCGATTATCATTTTTGCTTTCTGCGAATGGAACGTGCAGACTGGAGGTGCCGAGTCATGTTAGCCATCGCACAGCATGACACACGCACATGCATGCGGTATCATCACGGAAGGAAATGCACTTACGTTATGGTCTTGAGATTTGCTGCTGCCCAACTGCCTGGGGAGCAAACAGCATCCTAAGAACGAGCCGAATTTATGGGCCAGGATTCCCGCCAAAACCCAGCCCGCCAAAACCCAGCCCGCCAAAACCCAGCCCGCCAAAACCCAACCCGCCAATATCCGCCAGCAACCACTCCTGGAGGGTGTGCTCTTCCCGCCCTCGGGCCATGTCAATCTCGCCCGACCCATCCCATTTTGCCTCAAACCGATGCCAGCTTGGACTCGAGGCTCTGGACTTTGGTGTTGAGGGCCTTGATGGATGCCAGGGCCACCGCAACCGCACTCGAATAGTTGACCGACAGGAATCCATCCGACCCGATCTTGACCAGCTCCGGGAAGGTCGCCTGCACATCCTGCGCAACCAGACCAATGTTCCACTCCGGGTCACTCACCTCCTCGAAATCACGGTTCCACTGGAATCGCAGGCACCGGATGGTGTTCAAGGCGTCCAGTGTATCAAAGGGCTCCAGCTCCGGACCGAGCTTCTTGAGTCGGGCATCCGAGCTTGTCGAGAGGGTCCCGCCACAGTAGACATCCTTGGCGAACGCTGCACCGCCTGCGACGGTAAGGGCGCCCCCGTTGGTCGTACCGCTTGAATTCTGGGTGCTGCCGACTCCGATTCCTCCGCTAACCACAATCGATCCCGTCGAGGCAGAGGTCGAGTTGGTCGTATCACCAGAGTTGATGGCTCCGGCGCCGATCGAGAGTGCATAGGCACGGGTGAGTGTCTCGTTGCTGCCGGCGATCGGGGCACCAGCAATATACACCGTGGCAGCCGTGGTCGTCGTAACGCCAGTGTTTGTGGCAGAGAGGGTGGTCTGACCGATATAGGTGTCGTAGAAGGCCGTGTTGGTCCCGGATGCTGCCGTGGAGCTATCGGTGAATGTCGATGCCGCGATGCCAAAGACTCGACCAGCGGTTGCACTTGGTGGGGCAGCTGTTACCGTCGATGGGGCAATCTGGAGCTGCTTGCCCACATAGACACTCTTGCCGACACCAAGTCCTCCAGAGGCCGTGATGGATCCAGTCGAGGTCGATGTGGCATCTGTGGTGTTGGTGGTGCTGATGGCACTCGACGAGGACAGTGAGCCGGTGATCGTACCCGAGATATTGCCTGTGACGGTAAGGTCCCCGCCGACGCTCATGCTGGTGCCGACATAGGCACTCTTTGCGACGGCAAGACCACCGCTCACGGTGAGGGCTCCACCGGCCGTGGAGCTGGATGCATCCGTGCTTGTGAGCACTTGCAGGTGGTTGACGGTATCGTAAATGACGGCATTGGAACCGGTATCCACGATCTTGAAAAGCGTGCTGGCCATCTCTCGTTGTCTGCTTTACTGGTGTGAAAAAAATGTCCACCATTCACCTGCATGCCATTCACCAGGGTCTAGAGTGTGCGATAGCAGCGAGTGTGTACACCACAGCCGTTTCCATTGTATTTTTTTCACTGACTCTCATTTGGACTCTCAACAGCACCGCTGGTCGCCCTGCAAATCATCTCTAAGTATATGTTATTCTCTCGGAGCATGACCAGGGTCTCGCTATCTACACGACTTCCTCTCCGCAGACTCGGAGCATGAGTATCGCCCCCCAATCGATACTCAGTCAATTCGATCTGGTTCTGCAGTGCCTTGACCATCGACTTCCATTGATCTACATCCCAGTCTTGGATATTGTCGGTGTTTTCAAGTGCATGTGTGGTCACATCCTTGTAAGTGGCGAGCAACGCCAGTGCCTTATGATCGAGCAAATCATCACCGGTGCTAGCAGGCTCACCCATTGGTGCTGGAACTTCATTTTTGAGATCGCTCAGTGTTTTCAATGGCTCCATCGTCATGATTATAATGTACCAATTTAAAAACGGGTCCAATAAAGGATATTGTGTCAGTAGAGTCACAAATGCATTAAGTTGTGCTTCCACGCCTTCCGTCAGAGTATTGAGTATATCCAATGGTGTTGTAGATTGCTTAAATGGGACTGCTGATACGGCGTTGCCAAAGAGTCCGTCGCTCACACTACTCCACGCATCAGACCCGGTAATGACACCACGGTCCTCGACGTTCAAGAGGATGACACTCAACCATTGAGTCTGTGTCTTGATTTTTGAAATACCATCGACTATTTCACTCGGCGCTCGGTTCGACTTTGGACCACCAAAAGCCTCACCAAACGCCCGGATAACAAACAACCCCCATTGCTTTATAGATTGTCCATTGACACTACTCTTGCCTTGTTTAACCACCACCGACTCTCGGTAGTTTGTGACAATCTCTGGCTTGTATATATCTGCCATAGTCAGCTTCCGTGTGGCAGTCGTTGTGAGGGCTTCGTGTGAGCTCGTTGCTGTGCGTGCCTCCTCAGTAATTCGAGGTCTGACGTAAAAGTTAACCACCAGAAAAGCGACATACGAAAATGCAACCCACCAGTGATAGAGCTCATATAATTGTATTCCAAATAGCTTCCTTCTATCCCACGACGACTTGTCACTCAGTCTAGCGATCGTGTCAACAATGTTACGAAGCATACTGAATGGATACAGTGGCTGCCACCCAATGCTTCCATCGTCATTTGGTAAGCGCGCTAAATTTTCAACAACCTTCTCTATGCCATCGGCACTCTTCGCAGTATCACTTTCACCGACTGATATGCTTTCATGGATACGTTTACAATGAGCGCGTAGTTCGGTATATAAGCGACGCACACGCTCCTCTCCGTGTTTGAGGCAATCGTTAGTTTGGTCCTCCACGACATCCCTAATGCATTCACTCGCTTCTCCGATAGCAGAAACAAGCTGATACACCGTATTCAATATGTCAATAGCTGTTTTTGCTTTCTGGAATCTGAGCGTACCTTTCTTAGCCGTCCGATTAACCTTCGGTGATGTCGCCGTTGGAGTGGTCGACATGTCATCTGCGAGAAGTGCTTGAATCCACTCACCACTCCGCTGTTGATTTTGATTCCGCTTGACTTTACTGCTTTTGGATAGCATAGAGCTCCATAGATACACATTCCACAAGCGACAGTGTTCATACACCCTCTCGATCTCAGCGGTCGAAGCGTGCATCGATTGGTCCATTTGTCGGTCAGTTTGACATCAGAGTGTGATTTTTTTGGGCCAGAAATTCATGGCCATAGGTACGATTCGCTGGTACTATCGAATATATCATCCTGTTCTTCGTAGACGTTCATTAGTTCCCTGTCCTCATCGTCCTCAAAGTAATTCTTCTCCCACTTCGGAAGGAGCTTGCTCGACTTGATATTACTCGGGGAACTTTGGTAACTCGAAAGGTATGTCGAAAACGCTTGGTCCACAGAGTCCAGACCCTGTGAAATTATTTTCAGAGTCGATACGAAAAGTATCGCCTTATCACTTTTCTCTTCGACTCTTCCGGATTCGAATTGCCAGTCAATAAAATCGATCAATGGGTCGACACACCACGTTTGGAATTCATTCCACTCTTCCACGGAGACGGTGGTATGTCCATCGTTGGATGAATTTTTTAGAGCATCAGAGTATTCGGAAATCACAGTGTCGATATAATAAGCCCACCAGTCTACCATGTTGAGTAAAGTGTCATTCGGTTGATCAATAAGATCTCGAGGACTCTCCCCCGCTATTTCCGTTACAGTGTTTATCGGTTGTAACCTATTATTTTTCAATTTCTCTCGATTGTACGGTGGGCTGTAATCCAGGTCATCATCTAGTAAACTTGTGTCGATAGGTGTGGTTGGCGTCACCGGCTTGATTTTATCCTGAGTGGGTGTTGTGTCTCCGGATTGCGGTGTTACGGGTGCCCGCCGAACAGTAGAGGTTGACGACCTTAAACTAGCTGGTTCACTTGTCTGATCGTCATCATTTGATCCAGGGACTTGAGATTCAGTTTCACCCGACACTGGTGATGTGAAGTCAGGATCAACGGACGCTGCTGCATTTGACACCTCATACATAGACACTATATCGCTGGTAGGGGTGATACGTTCATCACCTATTGGGGAATCGGGGAGCCGAGCGGCTCTCCCTACCTCTAATTCAGAACTCGTCGCCTGGACATCTGACCCTTCCGAGCTCCCAATACCGCTTCCTGATTCACCTTCACCAACACCCTTCAACTGAACCCTCGGGACTATTTCATCGGAAATCGCTTTGTTCAGCTCCATTCCGCCTTCCTGGTGTGCTCTGAGGTTGGCCAAAGCATTATCAAGTTCCTCTCGAACGTTCGGTGGTAGCGCCTTCAAGCACGCTCGAGTCTTTTGAATGATTTCATCGATTTCTGACTCGACAGGATCGTATTTCCTTTGCGACATGGACGACTTATGCTCCTGACCATATTCATCAGAAAAAAACATTCCTCTTCCACTCAAGTGGTCGATGTTGAAGGGGGGTTGTCTCCAAATTTGGCGATCAGACACTGCCTCAAAATGTCAAGAAGCCATTCGATATTGGCATTGGTAATGTCATCCGTCGTTGTTGTTTCCATTGTCTTTGGATTGGCTGTGTCTACTGAACAAAAAAATTATCACCATTCATCGAGCAAGGCAAGGAAGCTCTTGGAACCCAACCATGCCCCAACGGTCCGAAACACTCTTTCACTTCACCGACTACCATGACCCCATGCATCACCACGACTTTGAATACATCTCGCACCGCACCATCGACCCGAGCGACCATCCAGACAAATCACACATCTCCCTCGATCACGGCAACAACGTATCCCTGACCTACAGAATCGGCGATCAGCGGTACACTCACATACTCGGCAAGGACATCCGGAATCGTAATGAACTGGTTGCCCATCACCCGTCACCCCCGTTCCGGGTTGCGATGCTGGTCAACAAACGATCGGGTGCCAGCGGTACCGTATCGATCCTATCCCTGATGAACGAGCTACTTGGTCCGAATGGCGATGCCCACGGCCAGAACTACACCCTCAGAGACGTCTTCCCTTACATCATGCATCGCCTCGGCAAGCTCGGGAACATTAGGAACTACAAGATCATCGCCATGGACAGGACCCTCAACCGGTTCGTGTACGACGATCTCGAAAGGAATTAATTCTCGACACCTGCTACCAGCGGTCGCTCCAGAACATGAACTTCGCCCAGCGTCTCAGAGGCTTTCACGACACCGGCATCGAGCTCAGGCGACGGCGATACCACGAGATCCTTGAGCTGTGCTGCCACGAAATGACCATGCGAGCCAGCAATGGCCTCTATATGTACTTTGAGGTACCATTGATGGTGGCAGGATGCCCCGCATACGACATCAATGAGTGTGTGGCCTATATCCAACAATCCCTCTGCTCCGAAGGCGTATCGTGTGATCTCTTCATGCCTCCAAACATCCTCTTCATTTCATGGAGCGCCGACCACTCACCAGACCCAAAACCATCCACACAATCACTGACTGTGCCAACCCAGCCTCTACCACCAGCATCACCACCACCGCGCCAACTCGACAACGACCTCGAACTCGACATCAACCCCACGGACCCAGTCTCGACCATGAACTTCACCGTGGGTCTCATGCGGTCCAATCCTCGATACAATCATCTCTTTGACGAGAGTGGGACTCCAAGCAAGAAAAAAAACACAGGGAAAAGGACAAAGCATTCCCAGAATCAATGAAGGATCCGGCATCTGCTTTCGAACCAGCTCTTGTTGCCATATGCGTCCTCCTCGGCCGCATCGGTGGTCGATTCATTGTCGACGACTTTGAAGTCATGTGGTGCCACAACTTGTTCAGAACCAAAGTCGTAAAGGCGATTGTGGTCTTTGCGCTGGCATATGTCGGCTCCAGAAGCATAGCCGTGAGCACGCTGTTTGCAACCGCATACTTCATTCTTGGTCCTCGCTCTGCCATCGACGCCAACTCGACGTGCCCAGCATCATTCACATGACTCGTAGCTGATATGTGTGAATAGAGCTATCCCCGATGACTTCGAAATACAGTGTCCGATTGATCGCATGCATTCCGAGCCTTTGACCGATTGTACCCGGAGCCTGACTCAGTCGGTGGACACTAGCATCCTGCGGACCCACTGATGCCAGGAAGGTGGCCGTGGGCTTGGTTGCATCGGTCGGTGACTGAAACTTGAGTATATACGACCCATAAGGCAGATTCACGATACAGGGTGGGGACACACTGTATATTTGCGTGATGATACTGAGCTGCTGGTCGACATAAGCCTTGTTGGCCGCATCCGTTGGGTTCGTGGGCAGGCTCATATCCCGGACCACTCCTCCGGACATGTCGATTGTGCAATTCGTGATACTGCCGTTGTTGAAGAATGCTCCGTCAAAGCCGGCATTGCCGCTAAAGTAGCTGTATGCCATTGTCTGTCCTTCAGTGACCCCTCAAAATGGCAAGCTGAATTTTTTTTGTGTATTGTTATGTAGCACATCCCGCACATCAATTAATGTCCAGTGTTGATACCACCACCTCTACCGAACTCACACCCACTCCGGGATCCATCGCCTCGACCGCCCCCGCCGTTGCTGGTGGTGCCCGCCGAACCAAGCGTCGATCGCGCAGTGGAAAGCGTCATTCCAAGCGATCGAAGGGTGGTAAGAAGAGCTTCAGTGGTCGCAAGGGTTCTCTCGGTAAGCGCAGACGATCAAAGTCTAAGTCTGGCCGAGGCCATGGTCATTCCCTCGTTCGCTACAGCAGCACCAAGGACCTGAACAACCACCATCACTACCGCAACTCCGTCGCAAGGTCTGGCGGCAAGAAGAAGAGCAGGGTTAGCGTCCACAAACAACACGGCAGAGGCAGTGGCCGCAAAAGCAGAATCAGCAGACAACGCGGCAGAGGTAGTGGTAAGAAGTACCACAAGCACTCCAAGCGCCAGCCTGGTGGTAAAAAGTCTTCCAAGAAGCGACGAAGCAGCAAGCGCAAGGGTAAGCGCGGTGGTAACGGTGGTTGCCCGGTCGATGCCAACGGTCGAGTCGATTTTGCCTGCCCCATCTGCGGCAAGACCCACAAGCTGTCGTCCAACCAGTTCCACATTGAATCCATCCGCGTGCCTTCCGGCGATGGTGCTGATCGATACCAGAGCCAGATTGTCGTCCCCGTCTGCCCCGGATGCGGAACCCAGAACCTCCGCCAATTCTGCTCTTCCGCTTGAAGGAAAAAAAATGTCTGTGTAAAGTAATAGCCATCCCTCCGAACGTCATCGCGCTATCATGAGTTCTGCCTTGATGTACATTTTCATTATCGCTACCATCGCGGGTGTCCTGTTCTACCAGTCTTATGCCCAGCAGGCGGCCACCACAACCGAAACGTTCTCGCCGCTGGCAGCGTGGGCTCCAGCGGCGCCTGCCCCGGATGCCTCTGGTCCGGATGCGGCCACCATTCCTTCCATCGACCAAGTCCAATCTCAGGGCCTCCAAACCGGCGTCTCTACCGCTCTACTCGACCACCCCGACGACCCAGCCTTCCAGCAGAACTTTTTGTTCAACCAGTTCTCGTCCGGCATCACTCTCAGCCAGCCCAAGAAGTGGAACAACAATGACATTCGCGGCTCGCTTCCCCCGCCCCAGAATGTCGTCAGCCCGTGGCTCCAAAGTACTACCGAACCCGATATGCTCAGGAAGCGCCTTGAGGTGGTTTAGCAACTTTTTTTTCTCGCCTATTCGGTAGCTAACCAACCATGTCTCAGAGCCGATTCAGCAAGCTGTATGCCCATGATCCCTACTCGATCGTCTACCAGACCGTGGACGTCCCTGTCCGTGATTTGATTGCACCCAAGGTCTTTACTCCCGTCTCTGGCTCGACCGTCCAGCTTACCAATGCTCGCGCACTGGTCACTCCTCTGGCACCTTGGCCGCTCTCACCATCGCCCTTCCCCAGTACCCTGTCGATGGCCAGATTCAGAACGTCACTATCACCCAGTCGATCACTGCCCTGAGCATCACCGGTGGCTCG